TAGTTAGTTAGTTAGTAGTTAGTTAGTTAGTTAGTTAGTTAGTTAGTTAGTTAGTAGTTAGTTAGTTAGTTAGTTAGTTAGTTAGTTAGTTAGTTAGTTAGTTAGTTAGTTAGTTAGTTAGTTAGTTAGTTAGTTAGTTAGTTAGTTAGTTAGTTAGTTAGTTAGTTAGTTAGTTAGTTAGTTAGTTAGTTAGTTAGTTAGTTAGTTAGTTAGTTAGTTAGTTAGTTAGTTAGTTAGTTAGTTAGTTAGTTAGTTAGTTAGTTAGTTAGTTAGTTAGTTAGTTAGTTAGTTAGTTAGTTAGTTAGTTAGTAGTTAGTTAGTTAGTTAGTTAGTTAGTTAGTTAGTTAGTTAGTTAGTTAGTTAGTTAGTTAGTTAGTTAGTTAGTTAGTTAGTTAGTTAGTTAGTTAGTTAGTTAGTTAGTTAGTTAGTTAGTTAGTTAGTTAGTTAGTTAGTTAGTAGTTAGTTAGTTAGTTAGTTAGTTAGTTAGTTAGTTAGTTAGTTAGTAGTTAGTTAGTTAGTTAGTTAGTTAGTAGTTAGTTAGTTAGTTAGTTAGTTAGTTAGTAGTTAGTTAGTTAGTTAGTTAGTTAGTTAGTTAGTTAGTTAGTTAGTTAGTTAGTTAGTAGTTAGTTAGTTAGTTAGTTAGTTAGTTAGTAGTTAGTTAGTTAGTTAGTTAGTTAGTTAGTTAGTTAGTTAGTTAGTTAGTTAGTTAGTTAGTAGTTAGTTAGTTAGTTAGTTAGTTAGTTAGTTAGTTAGTTAGTTAGTTAGTTAGTTAGTTAGTTAGTTAGTTAGTAGTTAGTTAGTTAGTTAGTTAGTTAGTTAGTTAGTTAGTTAGTTAGTTAGTTAGTTAGTTAGTTAGTTAGTTAGTTAGTTAGTTAGTTAGTTAGTTAGTTAGTTAGTAGTTAGTTAGTTAGTTAGTTAGTTAGTTAGTTAGTTAGTTAGTTAGTTAGTTAGTTAGTAGTTAGTTAGTTAGTTAGTTAGTTAGTTAGTAGTTAGTAGTTAGTTAGTTAGTTAGTTAGTTAGTTAGTTAGTTAGTTAGTTAGTTAGTTAGTTAGTTAGTTAGTTAGTTAGTTAGTTAGTTAGTTAGTTAGTTAGTTAGTTAGTTAGTTAGTTAGTTAGTTAGTAGTTAGTTAGTTAGTTAGTTAGTTAGTTAGTTAGTAGTTAGTTAGTTAGTTAGTTAGTTAGTTAGTTAGTTAGTTAGTTAGTTAGTTAGTTAGTAGTTAGTTAGTTAGTTAGTTAGTTAGTTAGTTAGTTAGTTAGTTAGTTAGTTAGTAGTAGTTAGTTAGTTAGTTAGTTAGTTAGTTAGTTAGTTAGTTAGTTAGTTAGTTAGTTAGTAGTTAGTTAGTTAGTTAGTTAGTTAGTTAGTTAGTTAGTTAGTTAGTTAGTTAGTTAGTTAGTTAGTTAGTTAGTTAGTTAGTTAGTTAGTTAGTTAGTTAGTTAGTTAGTTAGTTAGTTAGTTAGTTAGTTAGTTAGTAGTTAGTTAGTAGTTAGTTAGTTAGTTAGTTAGTTAGTTAGTTAGTTAGTTAGTTAGTTAGTTAGTTAGTTAGTTAGTTAGTTAGTTAGTTAGTTAGTTAGTTAGTTAGTTAGTAGTTAGTTAGTTAGTTAGTTAGTTAGTTAGTTAGTTAGTTAGTTAGTTAGTTAGTTAGTTAGTTAGTTAGTTAGTTAGTTAGTTAGTTAGTTAGTTAGTTAGTTAGTTAGTTAGTTAGTTAGTTAGTTAGTTAGTTAGTTAGTTAGTTAGTTAGTTAGTTAGTTAGTTAGTTAGTTAGTTAGTTAGTAGTTAGTTAGTTAGTTAGTTAGTTAGTTAGTTAGTAGTTAGTTAGTTAGTTAGTTAGTTAGTTAGTTAGTTAGTTAGTTAGTTAGTTAGTTAGTAGTTAGTTAGTTAGTTAGTTAGTTAGTTAGTTAGTTAGTTAGTTAGTTAGTTAGTTAGTTAGTTAGTTAGTTAGTTAAACTATTACAAAACATTTTTAGACTTCCCTCGCCTTCATTTACAAACTTAAATGAACGTTATTCGTTCGTACTTTTGATATTTATTTTCTATATTCTTCTTTATTTTACTATTTGCTCTTCTTATTATCATTTTACACTTCGCTCCTCTATTGGGATAGTGACAGCGCATAATTATAGTTGCCATGTTTGGTGTTCAAACAGTTTAAATAACGACAAACAAAAAATCGCAAGCAACAACAACAAAAAAAAACAAAGAAGCACACAACCTGTCATGTTATTTTACTTATTAACAGTTGAACTCAAAACTGACGGACGGACGGATTCACTAAATATAGGCGATAAAAACAGGCAACAACAAATGACCAACTGTGCACCCCATTTCTTTCATTCGACCTTGAGAACAAAGTTTTCTTTACTTTAATTTATTGAAAATATTGAATCAAAATGAATTAATTTTGCTGATTACTTTAGAGTCGCCTTTTTTGGTTAAGTATTTATTTATGATGAATTTATTTTTTGAAGAATTTTGTTATGATTTTTTAACTTATTTGGGATTGTTTTTATTTGAAATACTTTATGAGAAATACCAAACCTTTTCTGAATAAATAATATTTTGCTGATGAAAAGTTTTTTGTTTTATCAAATAATAATTTTGGCACAAATAAATAAAAAAACAAGTCATCCCAATTAACTGTATAAAATGATTTTCTTCTAAAAATTTATTTCCGTTTCGGCTTTAATTTATGTATCGTAATAAATTATTTGCTATTTTTTATAACATAATCATCTACATATTTAAATTTACTAACAATTCATCCATCCGGTGCAAATATACCAACAACATAATAAAATGTTTGTTAACAGTTTGTTAATATTTAAGAAAAAACTAAAATACATTTTTTGCAATAATTTTGGCATAAATCCAAACAAATTTGTACTTTTTATAGATTTTCAAAGAAAATTTCGAAACTTTTTTTTTTTGCAAAATATTATTTATATGTTAAAAAAGTACATACAATGTAGGAGATTTTGTGGTTTGTATGGATCACTTTTTGTAGGTTCTAATTATTGAACGTGCAAAATAGATGTTTTCAGAATACCCACGGAATTTACGTTCATGTGGTTGAGAGGATCAAATAGAAAGAAATGACAATTTTTATTAAAATCAAAAACAAAGATACGTAAACGTTAAAATAAATGTATTTTTTTTTTTTTTTTGTTAAATAAATTAAATTCATGTATATACATTGTTTGTAAATTATTCTTTGGTTTGTAATACCGACACGTTTAAAGATCCAGTTGTTTAATAGAATAAATGCATAGGGGTTTCTTGTTAATTTTTTAAGAAAATTATATGTACTAAAATAAAAATTTTATATACATATGTATGATCTGTGGTCTAGTCTATAGTCTGAAATATAGTGTATATTATAGACTTGACTATAGTCCAGTCTATAGTATGGACTATAATCTATTTTCTAAGACTATAGTCTAGTCTATTGTCAATTTTTTAATAAAATTAAACTAAAATACGAATTTTATATACATATGTATGATCTATGGTCTATACTATAGCTTGACTATAGTCCCGTCTATAGTATGGACTATAGTCAAGTCTATATTATGGTCTATTGTATGGACTATAATCTATTTTGCATGACTATAGTCTAGTCTATAGTCTGGACTATAGTGTAGTCTATAGACAGGGCTATAGTGTAGTCTATTGTATTGTATAGACTATAGCCTAGTCTATTTTAAGGACTATAGTCTAGTCTATTGTCTAGTCATAGTCTATAATTTGGACTAGAGATTTGTCAATAGTGTGGATTTTAGTTTAGTTTTAAGTTTGGACTATAGTCTAGTTTATAGTCTGGATTATAGTGTGGACTACAGTTTAGTCGAACGTCTGGACTATAGTCTATAGTCTTGAGTATAGTTTAGTATAAATTTTGGAGGATAGTCTATAGTCTCGACTATGGTCTGGTCTATAATCTGGACTTTAATTTAGTCTTAAGTCTTGACTGCAGTCTCGATATTAGTTTAGTCTATAGTCTAGTCTATAGTTCGGAATATAGTCTAGTCAATAGAATGAACTATATTCTAGCCTATTGTATGGACTACAGTGTGGTCTATAATCTGGATTAGAGAATAGTCAGTACTCTGGATTTTAGTTTAGCCTTAAGATGGGACTATAATCTAGTGTATAGTCTGGACCAGGGTCTATTCTTTAATCTGGATTATATTGTGTTCTATAAACTGGACTATAGTTTAGTCTAACGTCTGGACTATAGTCTATTTCTCCGATTATAAGTTAGTATAAAGTTTGGACGATTGTCTATTGTGTGGACTATGGTCTGGTCTATAATATGGACTTTAATTTAGTCTAAAGTCTTGACTACAATCTATAGTCTAGTATACAGTTTGGACTACAGTCAGTGTAAAGTGTATAGTCTAGACTATAGTTTAGTTTACAGTCTAGTCTGTAGTTCAGACAATTGTGGACTGCGTTTTCCGTCTCCTCCACAGTCTAGTCTATAGTCTGAATTATAGTCTGGACTATAGTGGACTAAGATATTTAACTCTTTTAACATTAATTAATACCTGGAATTTAAAAGCACTGCCAAAAATTAGAATTATTCTTTGCAACATTTTCATTCTTATGAATAAATTGAAAACAAAAACAAAACTGAAATGTTATTACTAAATTGAAGGCCCTTTCCTTTAAAAATTAACCTTTGATGCCGCCGTGTTAGTGAAAAAACTGTAGCATAAGTTTTTTTTAAAAGATGTTAGTAATTTTAATGGCAGCCCCTAAAATAGGCAATATATTTTATTTGAAACCGTTTTTAAACACAAGGTGTAAAGAAGTATTGTTGACTTTTATTAAATTCACCACCACACCTCTACCTACTTAAGTATGCTATAGTTTCTTATTTAAACAACATTGTTGATTTTATACAACTCATTTAGAAATTGTTGAGATCTTCGCTCTAAAAAATATGCAACTGTTTTTTATTTTTTTAAATTAATTCCATGATTTTCTTTTTTTTTTGTAGGTGTTCCCATACGCTGCAACACCAACACCATGTTTATGCATCATAAATTTTGCATTCTAGACAGTCCGCTACGCGTTGCCGCCATTCACAAAAAACAAAATAAATCCTTTGACAAAGGTCAAAACAGAAGTATTCTAATGACTGGCTCCCTCAATTGGACCATGCAAGTATGTTTGTTGTTTATTAAATAAACAAACATAGTAAGAAACCTATTTTTTTAATTCATATTCTAGGGTTTTGGCGGCAATTGGGAAAATATTTTAATAACCAGCAATTTCGAATATATAAACAAATATTCCCAGGAATTTGAACGCATGTGGCATGTGTTTGATGTGGATTTAAAAGTAAATAATAAAAATTAATTAGAAAGCTGAAGATTGTTTTTAGTGGATGTAAAGGTAAGAAGGCGGATTTTGTTATTTGTTAAAATCTAGATATAAATAAAAACTCTCATTAAACTTAAAGTAAATCTTTCTGTAATTTTATGTTTATCATATACTCTAGATTTAATTTTAAATTCTAAAAGATGTCTTAAATCAAAGTATTTTTTTATTTGTATTTCACCATTGCATCCTTAATTCGTTACACTCTCTAAAAGCAAACTAAAGCCTACTTGTTTAAAAATATTTCGTTATGGTTGTAATGTCTCCTTTTTTTCCAAACTCTTCTTGTAACTTGATATATTTACAACATACACATGTGTTTGTTGCATGTTGGGTATTCTTTTTTTAATACTTCTTTTTTAAGATTTCTTTAAATTATTTTCAATAATATTTAGTTCATGTCTATGGATGAAAAGAATAACAAAGTGTTATAGTCATAAAATGTCATAAAATGGGTTGACAAGTTACTTAAATTACTTTTTAATTATGGTTTACATATGTAGAAATTTTAAAATAAAGTACATAATTTACCTAAAACATATGTATGTATGTATGTGTTATTGCATAAAATAATGATTTTACTTTAAAGTGGCACTTAAGCAGTATCACTATAACTAATTTAAATGGTTCTATTCATTTTAACTTTAAAAAAGTTTATATATTTTTTTTAAAAGCTCTACATGAAGATAATATATTTCAGTACTTTTCAACTCTTGCGATAAAAAAGATATACAAATCTCGTTGTAATTATGCTTATGATTACGCATAATATTCTTGACGTTAAGTATTTTATTTTAGTCCTTTCGAATAAGTTAGCTTTATTTTCGATTTTCTCTAGTACATTTTCTATAGAAAATATTTCACAGATTCTGACCAAAAAATTTCACAAATTCAGAGAAATTTTCTATAGAAAAAGTTTCACAAATTTAGAGAAATTTTCTATAGAAAAAGTTTCACAGATTCTGAGAAATTTTCTATAGAAAATATTTCACAGATTCTGAGAAATTTTCTATAGAAAATATTTCACAGATTCTGAGAAATTTTCTATAGAAAATATTTCACAGATTCTGAGAAATTTTCTATAGAAAATATTTCACAGATTCTGAGAAATTTTCTATAGAAAATATTTCACAGATTCTGAGAAATTTTCTATAGAAAAAGTTTCACAGATTCTGAGAAATTTTCTATAGAAAAAGTTTAACAGATTCTGAGAAATTTTCTATAGAAGATGTTTCACAGATTCTGAGAAATTTTTCATAGAAATTCCTTTACAGATTATGAGAAATTTTCTATTATTCCTATGGTCCCCGAGGCAATCTATCGGATCGAATATATATAATAGGATTGTATCAAGATGTCACAGTCTGCACTGTTGTAGAACGGGGCAGTCCCTTAAAACCGTTTTACCGATTCTTGTTGATTTAAAATACTTCTATATTCGCCCAATCATAAAGTAAACATTAATATTGAAGCTCTATTATTAGCCAAGATAGTGAAGGTATTTTTCCGTTAACGACAAGCACGGACCAGAGTATTTTTGATATTCTACTTAATTCTGTTATGATTTACGCCGATGTATCGACGTTTAGAATACATTTTATAAAGTTTTTCTTTAACAGTTGCCGGCCGTCTGTAACCAAGCATTTTTGCACTACAGCTGGTTTGTGTCTTTGGTTTAACATTTCAAAACAATAAAAACATCTTACAATATTTTATCACATTAAAGTATACTTTATTAAAATACCACCTTAAAAAACACCTGTTCTGATGGACTTAATTTTTCATATAGAAAACTATCATAAAGTTATGTGGCCCAATCCTGTTGATGGTTCAAGGTGCTATGACGTTGATTATGCTAATAAGACACTTAACCATTTATCAAAAAAAAAATAAATAACAATAAAATGAAAAAAAAACACACATCATAGTAGAATTAGCAGTGTGGAACCAGTTGACTGGTTTTTGCTGCTCCCCCAGCATGTTTTGTTTTATTTTAATGCTGTGGAAAAACTCCCCACCATGCATTTTGCACACATTTATAATTAATTTATAAATTGATGCGCTAGTTTAAATTATTAATTTTATGTAAGTTTTTTTTGTTCTTTACATTTTTTGTTGTTGTTTGTGTTAAAACCCATACAAATAAATTGCATTACAACTATAAACGCCCCAGACATAGACGGCGGTATTGTCTGTCTGTCTTTCTGTTCTGTGAATAAGGGTACTTGAGCATTAATATGTGTTTCATAAATATTCCTATGAACAGGTAAAACTTATTCAGTCATTGCATAAAATTTAGAGTGGTACATTTTGAATATTGCAAAGAAAAAAAATTAAATTAAATATGAAACATAAATTTCCACGATTTTTTTTCTACTTAACTAGGAGGCGATGTCAGAGGTACTTAAGTTTAGAAAAAAAAAACTTTATAAAATTGATCTACGTTGTAGACATGACGACAATTCAACTGATTTCTGTCCTTCTGCATTATCTATTTAGAACAGTAATAATCTGGGGCGTTATTCTGTAACCCGTTTCGAAAGCTAAAATGTTAGAAATTGTCTGTTAAATATATTGTGTTTCGAAAGCCTTTTCTTTTGAATCGATATACATAGTAACCGTCCTGATCAAGTGATCTTTTGTGCCACTTTTACTCTAAGAAAGTACAATCTTTAGAAAAAAATTGCAAATCATAATTTGACAAATTTGCCCGCCATATGAAAACGTTGGGAACCACTTGCTTAAAACAATTTATTCTTAATTTTACTTTATGCTGCCAGAGACACACGTGTCAGAAGTTAAAATATACTTTATAATGCAGCATTTAAAAGTCTTACAAAAGAAGAAAATCATCATGTAGAAAATTTATGATAAATTTTTTAAGTAAAAATAGTCTGTTACACAATACAGTGTGAGATGGAAAAAAGTGTTGAGCTCTTAGATAATTGTCTTTCAAAATTATAAAGTTTTTAGTATTATTAATACTAAGAAACCCGAACTAGCTTAAGAACAATATCTATTTCAACTCTTTCAACGACTTAAGGTCAATCTAAAGAATGTCATGGAATAGTTTTGATTTGCAGGAGGATCATACATATGAATAGGATTCTTTTATAGACTCTTGAAGATTATCGCTATCAATCATATTTTTGACTCTTTTTGAGCCATATGAACCAAATATGGGCCAAATTCTGGCTTTCGAAATTTTTATATAATTTTCTTAATTCTGTTAAGGTTACGATGATTTTCGAATGCCACAAATGGAACGAGTTGTGTTAATAAGACCAAGATGTTGATTTACATAGTGACTCCTCAGAGAAACAGTCTGACAAATGCTATTGCTTTCAATGTTTCGTCAAAGATTATTCCTATAGCTTTCCATTAGATCTTGAAGATCCAGTGTATATGTATATATCGTTCAAAGCTGTACACATGGCTATTCTTTCAAATATATGATGTTTAAGTTAAGATTAATTCTCCGTTGGCAACTGGATAACTGGGATGTGAAAAGGCAGTTTTGAGTATTTCTCGCCGATTCATCTCTTACTGAATTGTTTCGCTTGCTTCCTTTCGTCAAGCTTTGTAATTTTTATGTTCATAACCATCTTCTTCAGATTTATTTCCATTAGACTCCGGAATTAGATTTAAAATGAAAAACATGATAATGCAAGTAATTGCGTATTATCATCCTCATAATATTGGATCTTAGTATTGTTGGCGTCTCAGTGAAAGCTATACACATGTTGTCCCAGTATACACGAAGGCCTTTCCTTGGAGAAGTTTCGAAATATGTGAAGCCGAAGTTAGGAGGAACTGTGTGTTCTTTAGGCAACTGTGGATATTTCCCAACCGATCAATCGTCTCATAGCTATTTAATAAACCCTGATTTATATTGGATAAGGTAATAAGGCTAATAAGAAATTTTAGGCTCTCCGGTATATGAAACTAATCGAAGTTTGCGTCAATATTACTTAAAGCTTAATTGCAATAAGTTTAGGAAAGTCCCACAACAGTTACAGGTTTGGTCGTCCCTAGATTTAACTTTGTACAATGGTGATCTTATCGAAATTAATAGATAACTGGGCTTTGAGTAAGACAGAACTCAGTTGGTCAAATATCACCACTTGTAGAATATCGAGACTGCTCTGGCCCACTCTAATAAAGGATAGGACTAGGACTCTCTTGTCTTTATGTAACTCGATTAGGCTTCTCACGGCTATAATTACTGGGCACTGTATGATTGGACAGATGTCGGAACGTATGGGCTACCCACGTTAAAGTTGTTTAGAAAAGGAGACGGTACAACATATGACTGCCCAGCCTTACAAGAGCACAGAATACTCTATCTTAGTAGAGCTTTTTTCCATAATCTGGACTGTCTCAGAGATGCGTTACTAGTAAATATAATAGGATTTATTAGAAATACCGGTAGGTTCTAACGGGGACCGCAGGAACCACATAGTCAAGGAAATTAGGGAGGGAAACTATTCTCTTTTATGTATAAACTCTCAACATGAGCCACAAGGCCTCCGAGTGAACCCGCTAACTAGCGAGCAACCCATGTTGATCAACCACGATTTTATTATTCCCGATCAGTTGAGTTTTGCTCTTCTTTTAATTTAACTTCAGAAGCATTTAACATCTTTCTTATATCACCCACTGTATTATCGAATGCAGACTATGTCTGTATGTTTTTTGCTTCAAGTTCCATTTTTTTTGATAGAGTGCAGTATAACATGAACGCATATATAAAGTCCATTTTAAGTACATAACCGAAAATGTAGCATGCAACATTTTTGTGCACTCAAGACAATATACAATACCATCAACTGGGTTTTCATTCATATTATGATTATGAAAAAAAGTTTTATTACAAAAATTTATTTTAATAAAATAAAATTATTTCGATATTATTCCCCCTTTCGTTAAAGATTAATATTATTGTTTGTATATGTATGTGCTTCAAAAAGCTTTAACATCATTTACAGTTTAGTGTTAGAAATTCCTGAAGCTTT